CTGCCCCCCCCCCCCCACCCCGCCTCCTGCTTCGGAAGTGCTAGGGAACGCTCCTTCAAGGGGCAGCCTCCTCTCTCGAGTGCTCGCCATTTCGTCCCATTCAGTTACAGCGTTCTGTTCAGGGCTGCGGCAGAAATACTGTAGGCTCGAGTTGCAGTCGATGTTTCCCATAAGGCGAACATTTCCTGACTGCTCCTACGCCTCCCCCCCCCCCCCACCCCGCCTCCTGCTTCGGAAGTGCTAGGGAACGCTCCTTCAAGGGGCAGCCTCCTCTCTCGAGTGCTCGCCATTTCGTCCCATTCAGTTACAGCGTTCTGTTCAGGGCTGCGGCAGAAATACTGTAGGCTCGAGTTGCAGTCGATGTTTCCCATAAGGCGAACATTTCCTGACTGCTCCTACGCCTCGGATTAAGGCCCGGCTATCATCCGAGGAGCGCGCTTTGGTGAAGCGGGACGGGCATCGAGCTGTAAGCGCCGCCACGACCAATCACCGCCTTCTCGGGAACTGCGCAGCGCCGGGCTATGCCAGCCCCGCCTTGTGAGGAGTTCAGTGCAGTCCTCAGTCAGGTCCGACATAGCTTGCCAAGTCTGCGGCTCCCAGTCTCCGCGCCAGATTTACAGGGCACAGGGGAATAGGGTGGTGGAGGGAGAAGTCGGAGAGGGGGTTAGGTGCTACACTGCCCGCAGAACCACAGGAGGGGCTGCGCGATTCAGGGGCGAGAACTCCGTAAAACGCTCCGACTTGCTTCCCCGGGTTGCTTGCTAATGAGGGAAGGGGAGAGGAGGCGATACAGCTTGAAACTTCCTGAAAGAAAAACACACGGTCATGTTGAACCGTTTGAGCTTTCTGTTGCCGATTCATGCGTCTTGTGTTAGTGGCCCATGGGGATGAAAGCAAGCACGCGCTATTGCAAACCACACTTTTTTGGGTATTTGAAAGGAACACTCACACAGTCCCATTATTGTTTTAAATACCCACACCGCCCCCCATTTTAAAGGACTGTGGGCTCCCCAGGGTATTTTTAGTGAATTCTGAGCATTCTCTCCTCCATTAAGGAAGATACAGAACACATCTGCTTACTGCACATGTACATTAAAGGGTTCCTCGCATCTTGACAGTGCTTTAACAATTTTTGCTCTTCCTGGGAAGTACCTGGAGCATTTAAGAATGAGTCATCACAGCTCTTTTGTTGAAAAGATGGGTGGCTCTTAAAAGAGCCTTTGGGTTA